TATTTTTAAAGAAGGTGGTTGTCTATAATTCAATTTGATGAAATGGCTTTCATCATGTGGGTTTTAACAAGAAAAAAAAACCAAAGAAGTCATATTATGTCAAGAATAAAAACAAAAGAAGTAAAAAAAAAACATGTAGATTTTACTTGGCTGATGCCATTTTTGTGAGTTGCCTGAGGACCATTTCCTTCAAGACCCTCCACAATCATCATCATAATAATTACTATAATCTTTTTTTTTCGTGTATTTCGTCATGCCTAGAAAATTATGGAAAGCAACTTGATTCAAGAGAAGAAGACAGAAAAGAGGCAACATGAAGTAAAATCTATTTGGAAGGAAAACCTCATACAACCAACCAATTTACGAGATAATACTTAAGCCTAATAACCAACCTTAAGAATGGTCCTCATACGACTCACTTCTTTTTTTTTTTTTTTTTTTTTCCTTCTTTCCAAGACATGGAAACATCTAACATGAGGTGCAGCACAAGATTCAAGTCTTTTCCCAGATAATTATTAAAAACACACTTCGAAGTATTTTATTTCTTTTACCCCTCTTCCTGCTTCTGCAATACTGTCATAGAAGTACCTAACCTTTCTCTTGTCTTGCAGATATACTCGATCAAGTACCAAAAAACTATTTTTGCAGGCTCTACTAGTTTTTATTTTGGAAGGTGAAGCCTAGAAAGGCGTCTAGCGCCGTGCATCCTCTTCCATCCATCGCACATCGAATATATATTTTACAAGAATTTGTTTTCTTTTTTTTCTCTTTCTTTCTTTTCAAAAAGACTGTGTAAAAGTAAACATTTATTTTTCAATCAATTTCAATTAAAAAAAAAAAGTATGAATTTTTTTTTGTTTACATTTCAAATTTCTTATTACTCCGTCGGACAATGCTTGACACCGTTCGCATAATTAAACGTCCTTTGGATCGTTACACATAGACATATCCTACGCATAAACCACCAGTCTTGATCGACTCTAACGTAGCTACAAAGGGGCGCATGAGAAATTCATGCGTATGTTTACAGGATTTTAACAGTATTGAAAAAAAAAAAAAAAAATTACGAGGAGCTTTGAACTTACAGGTCAATTTAAAAGGAGGTGAGTTATGTGATCCGAAACAATTAAAGGCGGTGCATATTAACCCTAACCCTGATTAAATTTGCATTACTGAAAAAAAAGTTTCGATGCATATCCAATAAAGAAAAATATAAAATAAAAAATATAAAATAAAAAAAAAAAACTTCTTTGGCAGGTCACGATCATCAACAACAGAGGAAAACAAGAAGCGATGCTTGGTGGTTTCTATCTATGTACTCTAATAGACTATCTATATGCTTTTTTGAAAAAATTGTTCTTATTGGCTCGAGATATCTAATTTAGGCAACTCTGGGTATATAACTTCAGAAGCATGCCAAAATAAAGAAAAAGATGAAGCTGGGAAAACAAACTGATTTCAAAAGAATCTACAATCAAAAAGGGGCTTGTTAAAGATAAATAAAAAAAACAAAAATATATATTTATATATATATATATAGAAGAGTCTATTTAAAACTGTGTCCCTGACAACGTATGCCACCTTCTAACACACCAGCAAAATCACAGCCACTATTCAAAATACGTGGGTTTCTAAAGCATCCAATGTTTTTCTGTTTGGTGTTGTCGATGATTTGTATTGTAAATTCTTATTTTTATTTTTATTTTTTTTCAAATCTTTAAATAGTTTTTTTTTTTTTACAAAGTATCGGTCCGGGTGAGCGAGCAAGTGTTTCCAGAACTTGAACGAAGAAAAGGATAGCTGGGAGACAGGAGAGAGAGGCTTTGGGCGGCACCGGATCGAGTAATAATGTTCTTTGGCAGTTTTTTTTTTTTTCGACGTGGTTAAAACTGCCTTTATTTTTAATTTATTTCAAAACAAACGTAGTACACAACCAAAATAGGGTATTTTTAGATTATGGAACTGTTACTATCAAGCTTAATAATTATTAAAACTTGTAAAAAAAAATAAAAAAAAACTTTCTAACGAAATGCGGATATGAGAAATTGCAAACGGGAAAGGAATAATGGCTGTTTGGACCCATAATCCAAAAGAAAAGTCTTTTTTTTACACAAAAAGTAAGATTAAAATTCATGGACCAGGTCAAGCAAGCAACTACTAGAAACACCAGTTAACCTTTACAAGATGAATCACTACCAACCCTTGCGCGAAGCAGCATACGAAAAATATGCAAGAGTTTTTTTTTTTTTTTTTTTAGAAAAAAAAACAATTATGTCTTTCTCGGTTATGATAATTGACCCAATTCTTTCGTCTGAATATTGTAAGATTTTGGATTCTTTAAAGTGATGTGTTTAATATATTAATGTCCATGCCCATTTTTTTTTTAAAAGAAACTTGGATGGAGATTAAAAGAAGAGTAAACCTAACAGTAAATGCTTACCAGGAACGAAGAATAAAGGTAACGTGCTTACTTCGGAGTTCCGTCAAGGTTCGATAAACTTTATCCCATCATCACAAGGTTCACATAGCTAAAATCCGCCAGAACTTGTCCGCGGAGTAGTTGTTTTATTTCTCCGAGGTAAAAGAAAGAAGAAAATACAGTTGTCAATTGAGAATGTCAATCAGTCATAAGTCGATAATTAAAATTACCCCACTCTTTTGTTATTACTCATTATCTAAGTTGTATTTGAGATGTACAGATTAAAAAAATAATAATCTTATTAAAACCGTTTAATCTGGTTATTAATCAAATAGTAATAAAAGTAAATAGACTTTTATTCTTCTTTTTTTTATTTTTTATTTTTTATTTTGTCCCCACCCAAAACTGGAAATTAGATTTCGTTCTATTCCAGTTTGGAAACCACTGTCCATTGTTTGTTTCCGAAATTCCGCTTGGTATCTGAGAGTAATCAACAAACAAAAAATGGGGTAATTTCTATATTCCAAATTGATAGAATGAAAATCCATCAAACATATCATATATCGAATGATAAAGATAACTATCTTAGTTGACTTTTTTTTTTTGATTTCTAAAACCCAATAATCATTTTGTAAATCTGCACGCTTTAGGTGATTCCTTTTTTTTTTTTTTCCTTTCCCCGTTTTAACGACGGCCACTATGTAAAAAAGAATAATAAAATGAAATAGAGTCCTAACACCGTCATTTCTTATTTATTAATCAGCCGCATACTTTATCCCGTTTTTTTTTTTAATGGAGAAATTATGTTATGTAACTCGTATTTTTCCTTTTAAATCAAATCAAATCAAATCAAATCAAATCAAATCCCCTTTTCCTTCTTCATCAATCCGTGATCTACAGTCACGCATGAATTCGATATTTGAAATCAAACCCGTTTTTCTTTTTTCTTCTTTTCTCGAAGCCTTGCTTAATCTTCATAAATGTTAAAGAAAATTAGCCTAAATTCAGAATTAGACAAAGGTATAGAAATGTTTCTGTTATTTTACTAAAAAAAAAGTCACACGATCAGAGGGTCTTCTTTCAAATAATCCTAAAGCATTTATGCAATTGATGTAGGCAAGGAAAACAAAGATTACACTTGGCACGTATCTCTGTTATTATGATGACTAGGATTCACAATAAAGAGACAGAAAAAAAAATAAACAGTTTTAAGAACTGTTTTGTATACCTTTAGGATCAAGAAAACCGTTAATTATAATAATAAAGTTGATATCATTTAAAAAAGAAATTTTTTTTTTTTGATTATCTTTAGCTCTAATTATTAATGAGAATGCTATGCCAAAAGATTAAAGAAAAAAAAACGTGTTTTTTGCTGCGGATGGCATTAAACGGAGTTTACTTTTACACAAAACGGTTTTTAGTAGTAATATAAACATTACCACATGGCATTAAAAGACAAAACATTTTGATTTCTAATTTGACTTTTTGACAAAGAACAAAAAAAAAAAAAATAGCTTCTCTAGCACATTCCACTCCTACAACCGTTAATAGCCTAAAAGTTCTGTGAGTGCGAATTCCCACAAAGTGGACGAGGCAGCCCCGTAACGGTTTTTTACGTGTCACCCACCTATCAATCTGAATTAATAAGCAGATGTGATTACTCAGAATTCTCTTGAATAGATTTCTGACTAGGATTTTGTGTAAATTGGAAGATTGAGAATATATGGAGTAAAAAAAAACAAATACAACAACACAATAAACATACATTTAAACATACATTGGGGGTCATTTCTACTAGAATGAGAAAAAAAAATGACACAATGACATATTAAGGAATTGCTGTGCAAATTACCAATTCTTTCTAAATATCTAGTTTAATTAATTGATTCATAAATGCAAAATTGAAAACAGCCGACCTCGTTACACATCTCTTCATTAAAAACACACTAACCGGTTACAGGGCTTTTAAAAAACATGCTGGTTTTCGAATTTTTTTTTAAGAAAAGAACAAGCATCCAAGTTTTTGATTTAAGACATCTTAATTCAATTCAATTCAATTCAATTCAATTCAATTTAATTGGATTCTATATAAGATTATTAAGAAAAAAAAAAACCATGATTTCATATTATTTTTCTTTAAATTAAAACATGTCAATTGTAATTAAAATTTAAAGTATGACCTGCTTTTTTTTTTTTTTTGTAAATTGTAAAATCGACACAACATTAAAAATAATAACACACCATGTTTTTTTCTTTTTTATGTTTAACTTGTAAATGAATTAAAAGAATTCCCCACGTAAGTTGTTGTTGTTGTGGTTGGTTTGACTTTAATAATCGGTAGGAAAGGTCGTTTCAATTGTCCGGAGGGCTGTGCTTGCGCGGATCATCAATCTCTCCGCAGTGCTACCTAAAAAAAAAAAAAAAATCAAAAAAAAAACATTACATAAGATGTTACATTTTGATTACATATTTATTACACACACGTGATATCACTTCCCCAAAACGCGTTTGCAACACGTCCATCATCACCGCTACTTTTTTTTTTTTTTTAATTTTTAATTTTATTTTTTTAATTGCAACCATGTCTGACAACTCAAGTGATAACGACTCTACCAACGACCAAGATCAGTTACCAGCCGAATCAATAACCAAGGAAATCGATGATCTAATTGCCGAGAAAAATTCTGACTTTAGTGAAAGCGAAAACACAGACCACCTAAGCGATAGCTCTGAAGACGAGACTAGTGATGAAGATGAAGAAGATGACGAAGAAGACGACATTGATGGATACTTTTCCGAAGAATTAAACATTAAACCCAATAGTCGTGCACGGGTCAGATTTAATGCGCAAAGTAGTCAATCTCGAAGAACAGCTGGGCTTTCTAGAAACCAAGGCACTCCAGAATATGATAGCTCTGAAGACGAAATCGATGACGCAGATAGAATTGTTCATAACTCGTCCGGATCCTCTTACGACGAATATGAACTTAGCCAAGAAGAAGAGCCTTATTACCTCAGATATAGATCTGAGAATAGCGATGAAGAGGAATCATCAAATATTGAAGATGAGCAACGACAAACAAGACAGCAACAACCCTCCCATACCGAACAAATAGATGAGCCAGACAAAGAAGATGATTTTGGAATTGACAATATTAGTCAGAAAATGAGAGAACTTTTTACTTCGGATGAAGAATCTTCGGATTACCCTACAGATGTATCTTTGGAAGTTGACAATTTCAACGATAGCGAAGGTGATTTAAATGATGAAAACCATACTAAAAAGAAAAAAAAACCACCAGGTCAACTTGTGTCTTCAATCAACGAAGGCGGAAGAGTTTTCCTTAATTTGGCCCAAAAGGAATATGAGGCACACAACCTTAAAGATGCTGTTTTGCTCATTGAAGAAGCCATTCTCGAAGACCCCCGCTCACGATTACCTTACATTCTCTTGGACGTTATCCACACAGACATGAGAAATCCAGAAGCCGCATTAAATGCAAAGATTTTGGCGGCAACTGCAGGCAGTATTTTCCCCGATGACTGGGAAGATGTCGCATATAGAAGTATGGAGCTCGGTCTTTACTCTCAAGCAATCACTTTTTACCAGCGTGCAATTAGTCTTAACCCTAATGAACCATCATACCGCCTTAAGCTTGCTGAGGCTTATACAATCACTGGAAATAAGCGCCGTGCTATCTCTACTATGAAGCGACTCCATATGCGCTACCCAGCTAACCCTACATATACTAGTGAGCTTGCCAAGCTATACCTCGACAGTAATCTGGTCCAGTCTGCTGTTTCCCTTTATGAAGAAATTTTTCTCGCAAACATGCAGCAGTCTACGCTCGATGTTTCTAAAGTGCAACCATTTGGGTGGTCAGAGCTTAACGTTCTTTGTGAACTCTATGACAAGCAGGAAGTCTGGGCCAAGGGTATCCGTACAATCAAGCGTGTTGCTCGTTGGCTGCTTGACCGTGCGGATGAAGTCTGGTGGACCGAGATCAAAGATGATAGTGAATTTGATTCTCGTAGAACTAAAGCCAAAGGGTTCAACAAGAGTAGGTTCCGTGAGGACGAGTCCCGGTTCACTCTACCACTGGATATCCGATGTAAACTTTTAATGTTCCGTCTGGAAATGAATGATATGGATGAGGCTCTTATTCATGCTCAATTTCTTTTTGAAGCTGATCGCGATGTTTATCCCGATTTGATTTGGGAGGCTGGTACTCGCTTCATGAAATTTCATAAATACGATACAGTTTTAGAGCTTTTCCTCATGTTAATTGACGAAAACACAGATATTCCCAGTGAGCTTTTAATTGCAATTTCAAAGTGTGAAATGGAACTTGATCGCTGGGAAAGTGCACGCGAACATCTTGAAATGATTATTGAGTCTGATCCTAATAATATCGAGGCTCTTGTCAATATAGCCGAAGTGTGCTATGCTATGGATGATGTCAAAGCTGCAAAGGGATATGTTGCAGAGCTTCAACAGCAAATGCGTGAGCAAAAATTAAACAAAACTAGTACTTCATCTCAAGAGAAACAGCAGTCGTCAACTTCTTCTAGTTCAGCTTTGATTGAACAGATTATCAGACCGAGGAAATCTAACCGTGTCCTTGATGTCAGAGAAAGAAGAGAACTTAAGAAGAAACTAGAATCGGAAGCTGTACAATTATACAATGAGCTCCAGTACTACTGGGAGTCCATCATGGAAAACGAAGATATAACTGCCATTGTGCGCTGGCAACAGATTGCGTATCAACTCATTGCTCAAGTTCTTTCAGTCCGAGCATTTACTCTTGGAAAAAAGGTTCGACTTAACCTTAATATTGAAGAAGAAGACGACCAAGACATGGAGAAACGGCTCAACCTTCTTACAGACAAGCTTATTCAAAACGATATTGGTATGTGTTTAAAAAAAAATCTCAATCTCAATCTCAATAACAATTAAACTAACAATCTACAAGAAAATGGGGAGAATGAAGATTCTGATGATGAAAATGTGGAAGATAAAGAGGATGGAGACGAAGAAACAGAAATCAAAATAAAGACGGAGGATGAAGATACTCAGACATCAAAGTTCAAGTCATACCACAATATAAAGTTTAGAGGCCTAACGATACCTCAATGGTTTTCTATTTTTATGCAGTTAGCCATATTCCTTTCCGTTTATAACGAAGACCCATCTGAATCTTTCAAAATTCTTGATGCAGCTCGCGGAATCAAGGTTTTGCGCGAAGACGACCGTCTACAAACACTCAACATTGTTCACCTGGCTTGCACTTACCATGCGGAAATCCCCAAGTCTACGGTAGAGATTATCCGTTACTTTTCGCTTGGTCTTGTTTATTGCAACGATGTGTACCGTCTTCATCATGCTGTTTTAGGGGTTGGCCAAAAAAGTTATGATATTTTCAAGTCACAGGCAGTACAAAAATATTATTACCGTCGTATCAAGCTTCTCGAGTCGCAGCATAAATCTATGGACAAGCCTCTTTCTCCGATCCCATACTTTTTGATCGGATGCATCTACATTGCTAACCGATCTTATGCAGTTGCCCTGGACTATCTTTATAGAGCTTTGGACTTGGCGCCTAATAACCCGCTCCTGTTTCTTGTGATTGGAATATCACATATTTTGCGATCTCTTAATCGTCTATCGACTAACCGTCACATTCAAATTTTACAAGGATTTTCTTATATGAAGAAGTATCTAAATGCTCGGAAACAGGATGGCGAACAGTACATCATCGACCTAAAAGAGCAACGATCTATAGCTGAGGAAACTAGACCAAATCATGATAAAATACCACCTGTTGACAATGTTAATTGGGAAGAACAAGAAGCTTGCTACAACATTGGCCGCTCATTTCATGCACTTGGATTGCAAACTGAGGCCGCTCTATGGTACGAAAAGGCCTTGACAGAATATCCTGATGTTGTTCCGGATGAGGAATCCCTTGTGGATCAACACGAGGAAACCAAAGCTGAAGTTAATCCCAGGGCCGCAACTTTTTCTTTGAAACCAAACACTGCATATAACTTAGTCCATCTTTATAGCATGAGCGGGAACTTAAAGCTTGCGAGAGATATCACAGATAAGTACCTTGTCATCTAAACTTTCCGATTCGAGGATAGCTTAGAGAACTTTAATTAAAGAGTAATACATTAAATTTTTTTTTACGAAGAAAATCTTTTTTTTTTCAATCGAGGTTGTGTAAAAAGATAACAAAAATAGTTCATTCACCATTGCATGAATCAAGTCTATAAGTTTAAAAAATAAAGAGGCAGGCGTTGTACTTTAATTATTCATTTTTTTTTATATTAAGTGACGTTTATTTATATATGTTTTTTTATTTCATCTTTTATTTTTTTTTTAAATTATTTTATTATTACAATAATTTGTTTATTTTGGTAATTGCTAAGGCGTGATGTTGCATTAAAGGACTTGGAGGGGCATATTGTTAAAATGAATCAAAATAAACAGTTGAAAATCTTTAATAAACAGTGGGCAATATTGTTATATTTTTTTTCTTCCTATTTTCTTCGATCTAGAAATACAACATAGAATTAACGGAAGAAACAAGTTGATCTTTTTTCTTTAAATTTTTTCTTTAAATTTTTTTTTTTTTCATTTAGCTAAAGTCCTTTCTAGTGGAAAAGAAGAAAAAAAAAACAAAGGGGAACATGGTAAGAATTGGATAAAGGATTTACAATCGATCTTTAAGTAAAATAAAATTGATCGTCGATAGTTAAAATAATTTGGAAACGCTACCCGAACTGACTTTTAATGAACGAGTGCAAAAGAAGTTTTCAAAAAATAGGTTAAGCGAGCAACTCTTAACGAATCATTCAAGGAAAGCATACAAGTATTGTTTCAATTAAAAATCAAGTTTTTAGTGCATTATTTCAATTTAATTTTTTTTTTTTTAATTTATATAAATTAGTTTTTGAAAAAAAAAAGATCACTGATATGCTTAATCAATGGATTTTGAAAAAAAGTTTCATTGGACATTTTGTTTCTGAGACTGACAGTGAAAGAAAGATAAAAAGGTACTAGTGGTTGCCAAGCCAGGTTTACTAATTTAATATGAAATAGTTAGACAGGAAGTTTGAAATAGCCAAGATTGAAATTTAATAGTTTATATCAAAATGTAAAAGCAAGTGGAGAATATTGAGCAAAACTTTTTTTTTAATCATTATTTAACTTCAAATTCTTCAAATTCTTCAAAAAAAAAGTTGCATCCCAAGTTATTTTGTACGATCTATAAACCGGAGTTTGATAAGAAGTTAATATTAGATCAAAAAGAAGAAACATAGGAATTCCTTTAAAAAATGAGGGTAATAAGTCTTTAAATTAATATTGTTGTGTATATTGTTTTTTTTTAAAAAAAAGGTCGATTTAACAATGGGATTGTTTGCGATCAAATTTACAGAAAAAGAGAGGCGAATAATGCAAACTTAAAGCAAAAGAAATTTGCGAGATTCTTTAAAGATATAAATTTGAAGATTAAGAAAAGATTACTCGAAACTTTTTGAGTGAGTATTCATGCAAAACCTTTTTTAGGTCTTCGAATCATATTTTTTTTTTAATTTTTTTTTTCCATAATCAAAAAGAAAGTTGCAAATTTTTCTCCACCCAACTACTATTTTTTTAAAACTGTCATTTTATATTCGGAAATCTTCAATAACTTCATCGATCGGCTTTAACAGTTTAGCGATCCGTTCGTCATGAAATTCAAGAGGCAGTTCCATTTGCTCTGCCTTTTCAGCGCCGTACATTTCTGCTTTAAATTTTCGAAATGACGACGAGATAATCTTAGCCTTAGATTTTGCTTTACGAATGATTGCTTCAAGGCGGGCCACATCGTCATCACTGTTGGTCATGGGTAATTTGTCCTGGTTCAAAAGAGATTTTAAACTTGCAAGAGAGGCTTTGTTGCGCTCCACAAACGCCTTGGTAATCTTATCATGATCTTTTGGTAGGTCTTTGTCGGACTTTGTGTAATTACCGGCTTCAATCATTTCAAGCTCAAGATCCCAAACTTTTACACGTCCAAGAATCACACCTAAGGCTATATACCGTTGGAAAGCGGTTTGAATGCCAAACTCGGACCCTTCTTGTATCCCTGCTACCCTGCCGTCCCTTATCCCCTCTTGATAGCCTTCTTCATAAGCCCTAAAGAGAGGCGTTAGACAGGGCCTCTGGAAACACAACAGAAGGAAATAAAAAAAGAGCAAGTGACATACGAGTTTTCGACGTTTAAAGCAGATTCAAAGAGATCATTGTCGTCGTTGTTGTTGTTGTTGTTGTTGCTGCTATTGTTTGCCATTGTGACTTGGTTAAGAAAGAAAATCTAATTTTTTTTAGTGATTTGTGAGAATTAATAAACCGATGACTTTAAGAAAAAAAAAAACCGATTAAATTACATAAGCTGGCGATAGATTTCTTTTCAGTGGGATTTTTTTCTTCTCGCCACAAAACAAAAAAAAAATCCAAAAATTGCTAATGTCGATACAAAGGCCACAATTTTCACATAAAAACCCATTAAATTTACAAGCATCTGCTGCTGATGATGATGATGATGACATTAACGGCTCTGGATTGACCGAGGAACAACAGCTTCTACAAGAAGATATTGACGGGTCACATCTTGCACGACGCAAGCGGAAAACCGGGGCCCAAGTGCGTCTTGATTTTGATTCTGATTCCTCTGATGATGGTCAGACGCGTCGGGAGAAAGGATTAATTCAAGAACAACGCAAAAAGTTACGGCAAAGCAAAAGTAAGGGTCGGGAAGATGATGATAGTGATGACATGTTTGGAGACAGCGATGAAGATAAAGATGAACCAGATGAAAGAGAACTGGAACTTGACCGAGCAGAGGCTGAGCTGAATAAGAGCAAGCGAACGGTGGAGTTTTTGGATGTGGACAGGTTTGAACAGGAAATGAATGGGGGAGAAGAAAGTCGTGAGACAAAAAAGACTACCCGGAATATGCTGTTTGATGAAGAGGACGCAGGAGCAGATGCAGATTCAGAAGCAGACATAGATGATAAGGAAGATGAAGTGACGGCAACCAATGTTGACATTGATTACTTTGTACGACCAGACTCAGATTACCAAGAAGAAGAAAAAGAAGCTGAAGATGGGGATGGAGAGGATAAGATGGATGTTGATGAAGAAGAAGATATTCTACGAAGGAAAAAAAAGAAACCAGTACAGGAGCCCAAGCTAGAGGGGTTCAATTTGCGGGACGATTTGGAGGAAGGCAAATTTGACGTTGAGGGCAACTTTATTCGACATGCAGCGGATGAGAATGTACACCAGGATGCGTGGTTAGAGGGAGTGAGCAAAAAGGATATTGCCAAGGCGCGGCGGGCACATTTGCAACGACAGCGGGACGACGAAACCAAAGAACGCACTGGGACCAGGGAGAACGGGAAAACAGTTTCTGGGGAGTATGTGGAAACTTCTGATTACTTACAGAGGTTGATTGAGCGGTTAGATGTGTGTGAAACTCCGATGGAGGCATTACAGAATTTGCGGAAAGAGCAGATTCAGGATAAGAAGCGGCAGCAACTGGAAAAGAAACATAAGAGACGAAGACGGCCACAGGATACCATGGAAGAGTCAGCTGAGGATAGTCGGGAGGTTCAGAAACGAAAGGATAATCAGAAAAAGGTGGAAGAAATTACAGAATGCACAGACTCACTGTTGAACCGGGGGTTGGCAGATGTATACTCGATGATGCGTGAAGAGCTTATGAAGTTGTATACCAGGGAGACTGGTGAAGTATTTCGGGCTAAGAGGAAGCGTGAGGACACGGATGTTGGTCGGGAAGAAGAAAAAGAAAAAGATGGAAAAGACGAAAGAGAAGAAAAAGAGAAAATACAGGATCACCAAGTAGGTACTAAACAGGATGATGATAGGATATGGGAGTTTCAATGGGAAGGGTCTGACGAAATACATGGACCTTACGACTCGGCGACGATGCGGGACTGGATCGCTGGGGGGTATTTCCAAGAGGCGCGTGCACTTGTTCGGCCGGCTGGGACTCAGGATTCGTTTGAGCCTTTGGAAAGCACTGACATATTTAAATGATTAATGATTAAAATACACAGTATAATAATATATGTATATATGATATATATATTATGATATGATGAAATGATAATAAATAAAGACATTCTAAAGAATGTGAGAATGAGTGATCCGTCTAAAAAAAAAACTTATATGGGAAAATGTCAAAAAAAAAAACATAAAAAATAAAGTCCTCCAAAGATGTGATTTTTTTTAAAGCACCGACATGGTATTATCATGCTCAATACCCGGAGTAACACTGGAAATGAATTTAAGAAACACGACGAGATATTGGTCAACCCGCAAGGCAGCCTGGGAGTCAGACTCATCGATTTCCTCCCAGTCGTCATCGGCTGGGGCAGAGGGTTCACCTTGTTTGGGCTGTGCGGCTGAAGACGAGCCTGCGTCAGCCTCAGCGCTGGGGTGAACGCCACTGGAGCTAGCAGCAGCAGCAGCAGCAGCACTTTCTTGCAATTTTTGAATGCGGCGGGCTTCAGATCTGGCAAGCAAGGTCTTCATGACACTTGCATGGCGACAGGGATGTATGGAGACAGAAGTGAGGTCTTCTTCAAAGGGAGCTTTTTCAATGGTGGCGGTTTTGTTGCGGTAATCGGCCATAATATCTTCAAACATTTCGTCCGGGCTCAGCGGGGTGCCGTTGGCGCTGAACCCAGAGAGATAGAGCTTGGGAACACGGTAGGAGGTTGAATAGGTGATGTATAAGTTGTATGAGCGGTCGGAGGAATCTGCTGAGCCTGGCGGCGAGGTTATAGAGGATGTAGGGGCGCCAGCGCCAGAGGAAGTTCCAGCACCTGGGTCTGGAGGGATAAATGTGTTTTCATCTTCTTCGTCTTCATCGTCAATATCTTCGATATCTATTATTTCTTCTTCTGAAGGAGGAGGCGGAGCAGCAGCAGCAGCGGGTGAGGCTGATATTGGGGCTGTGGCCTCCTGTGCATTGGTAGTAGTAGTAGTAGTAGTAGATATGGAAGCATTAGGGGTATCCGAGTCAGATTTGGCAAAGGAAGTTGCTGTCCAGCCATCGGGGTCATCGTCAAGGGCTTCTAGTTTTGTATCAACAGACTCGTAGGTGGCGGCGCGGTAACGAGATGGGACATGTTTTGTGACTAGATACTGCTTATCTGGTGGGAGGAAAGCACGACGCTTACTTGGAGGTGCAGCAGCCCATGACCAGGTGGGGAACTTGTATACGAGGTAGTCGCCTGCTTGGACAAACTCTTCTGGGGTGATTTCGCCAGTGTCACGGAAGGTTGAGACGTGAGACACAGGTGTTATGTATTCTCTGAGAGACGATAGGGTAGAGCGGAACATGATGGAGAGAGATGGGGATGAGAATAGGGGTATAATGATAATGATATAATGATTCTCTAAAGATATAAGCTTTTAAAGAATAGAGAGGAAAAAAAAAACAAAAAAGAAAGGATAAGTATTTAGAAGCAATAATAAGGAAGGGTTATATAAGAAACAAAATTTGTTTATTTATATATAAATATTGTTCTTCTTCTTTGTTTTTTTTTTATTTTTAATTTTTTTTATGATAGGGTTGTTAAGTTCAATTCAGTTCAGTTCAGTTCAGTTTAGTTTAGTTCAGGTAAGTAATGTTGATTGGTTTTCGGTTGGAATCGGTCGAGGGTTTTGATGGTTTTTAGGAAAAAACAAGCAAAGCTGCTGGCGTAATCGCGGGCTGTTGTGTTTTGTGTAATCTAAAAAGTGTAACAACAACAACAACAACAACAAGTTCCGTGTAACATGTGAAATAGAAGGGTTGGGGTTAGCCACACACACATACATATACACTAGTAAATATATGATGTAGTTGTGCGGCGCAGAACATGAGCCGCGGATATTTTGTTACATACCATAATTTGTTACAATTTTTCAAAAAGAAATAGTTCGGTTAAACTTGCTATAGAAGCGTTTTTTTTTTTTTTGGTTTTTAATACTTAGTTCTACAAAGAAGTATATTAAAGTTGAAACCAAGGGTATATCTTTTTATTCAACTACGTAGTTATAACAAACTTTTAATTTAATTTAATTTAATTTAATTTAATTTAATTTAATTTAATTTAATTTAATTTAATTTAATTTAATTTAATTTAATTTAATTTAATTTAATTTAATTTAATTTAATTTAATTTAATTTAATTTAATAAACTTGTTTTTTTTTTCATTTAAGCCGCAGCACAAAACATACCCAAATAAAGAGCGCGGACCCGTCTAAGCCATGTGGCCAGCCCAAAAGAAAAAAAAATGTTAGCCAGGCGTGCCAGTTAAAGGAAAGGAAAGGAAGCAAAAATACTTCAAATCCTTCCGACTTCCAGCAGAAAATTCAATATGACGCACTCATTCATTCATTCATTCATTCATTCATTCATTCATATCTTTCTTTTTTAACAGAACTGTTCAATTGTCCAAAAAAAAAATATTCCGCGGATTTCTAGAAATAGTTTTTATTATAGGAACAATTGTTCTGAGTTGTTTTTTCATTTTTATTTTTATTTTTATTTTTATTTTTATTATTAAATTAAATTAAATTAAATTGAAAGATTAAAAAAAAACGCTTTCTTTTTTACTCTCCTCTCTCTCCTTTTTTTTTTTTTTTTTTTTTTCGCTCCAATAAATATTCATTAGACTTAAATATTCTGTTTAACTTTATACAACAATTACCCATAGAACCTTTCTAATCATACTCTCCTTTTCCTCAAACATTTCATGCCAATAGTCACATCTTCCAGCTCGTCCCGGAAACGTGCAGACTCGTCCGAAAAACATCACGTGGGGACAACTGGAGCCTCTGCTGGGGTCACTGCTGCGTCGGCGCGTCAACGCAAAAATAGCGTCAATCACGGACATCGCAAAAGTTTTAGCGGCAGCAGCAGTAACAGCAAGTCTGCTAACAAAAAGTCAGTCACTGATGACCAAGATAACGAAATCCTTGAAAAGGCAAATAAACCTAAAAAGCACCACCAGTCCTTTTTCCGGAAACGACTCGCATACTTTTGGAAAACACGCAAGTTTGTATTCATCCTTGGAGCTTGTATAGGTCTTATCTTTGCAGGCTACTACACGGCACAGTCTCAGGATCTCATGTCCATGGATATTCTTAATGACCTTTCCATGGACACCATCACTGATATCCTCAGTGATTTCAAGGGCAAGCTCCCCATGGGAATTCTTAAAGAAGCCCATGATCTCGAAAAATCCCATAGCTCTGACCTTTCAGAACCTTTCAAAATTGGCCTCATGCTGCGCGATCGAGATAATATTACTGCTAACTACCCTGTCATTATGATCCCTGGCGTCATTTCAACCGGCCTCGAGTCATGGTCTCTCGAGGGCACCCCAGAGTGTCCCACCAAGCAATATTTCCGTAAGCGTCTGTGGGGGTCCTGGCACATGCTACGCGCCATGCTTCTTGATAAAAATTGCTGGCTGCAGCACCTAATGCTGGATCCTGTCACTGGCCTTGACCCTCCCAACTTTAAAATCCGCGCTGCCCAGGGCATGGAGGCTGCAGACTTCTTTGTTGCTGGCTACTGGATCTGGAACCGGATTCTTGAAAACCTTGCTGCTGTAGGTTACGACTCAGGCTCCATGATGGTCGCTTCCTACGACTGGCGTCTTGCTTACCAGGATCTCGAGACCCGTGACCAGTACTTTTCCAAACTCAAGCTTTCAATTGAAAATTACTTATTAACAACTGGAAAAAAAACTGTCTTGGTTGGTCATTCTATGGGCTCCCAGATTGTCTTTTATTTTTTGAAATGGGTCGAGGCTTCTGGGCCTACTTTTGGCAATGGCGGCTCTTCTTGGGTCGATGATCATATTGAATCTTTTATTGATATTTCTGGATCCACCCTCGGCACCCCTAAGGCCATTGTTGCCTTACTCTCAGGCGAAATGAAGGACACAGTCCAACTTAACGCTATGGCTGTTTATGGTCTTGAAAAGTTTTTTTCCCGCCGCGAACGTGCTGATCTTCTCCGCAATTTTGCAGGAATTGCTAGTATGCTTCCAAAAGGTGGCCAGGAAGTCTGGGGCGACCAATCTTTTGCCCATGACGACTACTCTAACCAAAACGTATCGTTTGGTAACTTCATTCGTTTTAAGCAACCCAAATCTAATCTCTCGAACCGTAATCTTACCATCCCAGATTCGATTGAGTACCTCCGAGGTCAAGCCTCAGAAAACTTTAGCAACAAGCTTGACCAATCTTACTCCTATGGTCTGGCTCGCACACGCAAAGAGCTCGAGGCCAATGAAGCTGACCCTCGCAAATGGGCCAACCCACTGGAGGTGGCTCTCCCCAATGCCCCCAATATGAAGATTTACTGCTTCTATGGTGTTGGAAAGCCCACAGAGCGCTCTTACTACTACAAGGAGGAGGACAACAAGACAGCCACCATGCTCAACGTTACAATTGCAGCAGATGATCCCAATGCTGTTGTATTCGGCGAGGGTGATGGCACCGTGTCGCTTGTCACGCATTCCATGTGCCATAAGTGGCGCGACCCTGGAAACAAGTTTAACCCCGCGGGTATCCCCGTGCGCATTGTTGAGATGGCCCATGAGCCAGATAACTTTGACATTCGTGGTGGTGCCAAAACCGCAGAACATGTAGATATCCTTGGTCGTGCAGAGCTCAACGAGCTGGTAGTGAAGGTTGCGGCCGGCCAGGGATCCACCATTGATGAGCGGCTCATTAGCCCTCTCAAGACATGGGTCAAGAACATGGATTTGGGTGAGGATTAATTAATTTTAAAGACTAGATGAAATTTTTTTTTATTAAAGTAAATGGGTGGGGAAGAATTTAATAATAGTAATGATTATATTGTACAGTCTAAGCAATGACCTTGCCATCGTTAACAGCCTTGCCAGTCTTCTTAATGGTTGCCAGAACGGAGTCGTAGCTGAGAGCTGGTGCAGTGGTGACAGTAACAAGCTGAGTATCAAGGTTGGCGTCAACATTCTTGACACCATCAACCTTGTTTAATGCGCGTGTGACGGCACCGGAACAGCCTATTCAAAGCGTTAGAATCTTGTGCAAATCAATCATTATAGAAACATACCTCCGCAGGACATGGTGACGTTGAATTGGTAGACGTGATCAGACATTTTTGAAAAATATATATAGATTTGTATGGAGAAGGGACAAAAAAAAAATATGAATTGTGTGATGAAAATAAAAGGGAAAGAAATTAGTAAGGCACACTATTTTATAAATTTAAATATTGCAAGGAGGAGGATTTTTTTTTTTTTTTTTTGGGAGGGCTTGTAGAGCACTTTTTATACAATCACAACAGAACATTGGCCCCGTACGGCTGCACTAACATTAATCCCCAACCTCTCTATTCCCAAACCGAACATAAAATCTGCTCAGCATTACTAAGAATGACAAGCGGGCCCTGATCACGACATCGCTACATCTTTTATCCACTACTAAACATAGTCATCATAGTCATCATCATCATCAACCAACATCAACATTCCACTCACACCACTCTTACGCACCTTCCTGTTCCTGCGCTGCCACTGCAGACTTTCGAATCAAGTCCTTGTGCTTCCCAAAATCCGCAGCCTGATCCTGTAAAGCCGCCAATGCACCATGCACCGCCAGAAAACCCAGTGCTCTCCGCGTACGTGCAATTTCCGAAGCAACTGGAATTTGGGCCGTTTGCACAGTTGCAAAGCGCTCAGGTGTTAGCACCCACCATCGACCAGAGAACACTGACGTGTCGCGCGAGCGCCACTTTTTCTGTGGACCTGGGTAAATATGCAATAATAGGTTCACAATAAAACTTGTCGCTAGTACTAACCCAGGATTGATGCGAATGTCGCGTAAAGTATCTGATTCCACTAGTGACTTCATTGCATCCCCAAACCGAACAGTCTGCCCATTCGAAACAACAAAACTGTGCCATGAAACTACCGTGTCTTCCGAAACTTCTCCGCAGACCTCTTTAGCCAATGCGTTTTCTGCTAATAAAGCTGCTCGGCAAACATCTTCAACATGAATAAAACACGTCGGTATACTCCATTGGTGGTCAATGATACCACCATAGTACATTGCTGGAGACAAAATGGGCTCACCATAGTATCCTGTCACTATCCCTTGTACCCGTAGTGACACCACTTTCACGCATGTTGCCTTATTGCTACTGGCAAAACTCTTTTCAGACAACAAAATTGCTTCCGCCTCTGCTTTGGATTGAGCATACGACGAAAGATATTTACGCGAACTAGCAGGAACTTTCCCCCGCTTATACGTATCCACCCAGTTGTTAAAGTCCCACACCTGCCACCACCTGGGTGCCTCGTAATCACTTTGCGCATCGCCAATGTTAATCACAGTAATGGTATTATTTGCAGCTTCAGGTTCCAACCGTGCTGCAATGTGGTTCACTGCCTCCACCAGACTCTGAGCCATGTTCACGTTTTGCTTAGCCGGAGCGCGATCATAAAACCGGTATCCAATGTAGTGACGTTGTATGGCGGCCGCATGGTATACAACAAGATTTACGCCGCCCTTATCTCCCACGATTCCGTCCAGCTCTTTGATCAAAGCTTCATCGTCAGTCAAATCAACATTAATGTACTTGACCCCGTACTTGATCAGGTCTGGAGGTGCACGCGGATTATTATCTAATATGGTAATGTCGGCTGGGTTAATACCACGAAATAAAAGAAACCGGGAAATCCACGAGCCCACAAACCCTGCACCGCCAGTCACAATATACTTGGGAGACACGACCCCCCATTTCGGTGGGGCCGGGACTTTTTCAGATGAATCGAGACGGGCCTTTGAATTCAACACGTCCACATTGATTCGGCTTGCATATCGTGTCAGGAAAAAGTCCAGGACCAAAAACCACGCAACAAACGGTGCTAAGAAAAGCACCAACTTTAGATAAAGTTGCATTTTTATTTTTAAATTTTAAAAAGATTTAATGAAAAAAAAAAATTAAATAAAAAAAGAAAAAATTTTAAGGGGAAGAAAAGAAAGAAAAAAAAAGATTAAGCAGCCAAATAAACAAAAGGCAAACGCCGCTGTAAGAAGCAACATAGCAGCATCAGCAGCAGCCAAGAATTCCACCACACTCTCAATCCAACCCTATTTTTTTCGTCACCCATCTCGGACTGCGGCGCTAACTACCAATCCTATCTTGATAGCAGCTGCCCACGCAGGACATGCCCATCGCTCATCTGTTCTGGGGGGTTCCAGTTTGATTTTCTGTTCACTAGTTCCATCCTCAACCTTGATTTTTACAGTTGAGAACTTTTCTTTTTTAGGAGCATTAATTCCAGGAATAACCATGAATGCATTGATGACTCGTAACGGGCCATATGCTCCATGATCATTTCTGTGAATCACCCCCAACGTTACAACAAGCGTGGAACCAACCTCGTAAAGAGCTATCACGTAGCATGACCCAGTACGTCTGAAAGTTGATTCTGTAATTTTCACTTTGTTTAGCTGATTTTTGAGATCTCGAGAAACCCAATTTTCCAGCGAACCATTATGGAGAGGATGATAACGGGCCACATGAATTACAAGGTTTGAAAATTTACTTGGTTCTTCATTTGGATGGAAAAGAAATAACATCCACTCATGGAATTTGACTATTGCATTTTCAATCCTTTCCCCAGATTTTCTAATTTCTCTTGTTTTAAGGATCTGAGAAGCTCCACTAAGTGCTACTATAATATCATAAAATAACCAGCCTCCATTAATCGCTATGTCTTTTGCGATTCCATCAAACTCATCATCACCAACAATAGGCAAAAACTTCTTGTCAAAACTATGATAAAGACTCCTTTTATCCAATTCTTCGTTTTTTATGCCACCATCCTCATTTTGACCACTTGAAAAGAAATCAAGACTTAGCCCGGGAATCCCAACTTTGTAAAGAAACCTCCATGTCAAAGGCAATGTGTGTCGCCAACGGGTCGTATAGGATAATGCCATGTAGAGGGTTGCAGCTCCAGGCCCTAAATCCTGCGGAAGTTTGGTCTTAGGATCTATTCTGCGTCGTTTAAATTGATATGTTTGATGTTCCATGTTATGAGCTATGATAGTTTGAAAAAAAAAAAAAAAAAAAAAAAAACTTGTAGAAGATGCGGTTTGAATTTTTTTATAGTTTTGAATCAACATGATTAAAATCTTATTCAAGTCAATTTTCTCATCTTGTCAAAAATCTAATATTTTTTTATATTATTTTCCCTTATTTTTTTTGTTTTTATATTTCATAATACACTAAAATTCTACCTAATGACCATGGGGATCCTCCTTGGGTTGCTCGGGCGTAACACGAATCATGGTATCGATACGCAGAATAGCAACACAAGCTTCCAGCGCACTCTTCCAAGCCTTAATCTTGCTGACAGTAGGCTCAAGAACACCTGCCTTGACCTGGTCAATAACCTTACCGCGAATCAGATCCAAACCGTAGTTCTTGTAGTTGCGCTTCTTGACATCGTCAAGCGACACACTCTGGCTGGCAGCGTGATAAGCACGAAGCTTGGCTACAAGCTCAGAAGAGTCCTTGGCAGCATTCACAGCAAGGGTCTTGGGAATCACAAGCAGAGCATTCGAAAACTCAGCAATGGCAAGCTGTTCGCGCGAGCCAACAGAAGTGGCAAAGTTCTCAAGGTAAATGTTGAGAGCAGTCTCGACGGCACCGCCACCGGGAACAACAAAGCCGCTCTCAAGAGTACGCTTGACAACGGAGAGAGAATCGTGGACTGAACGCTCCATTTCGTCGAGTTGGTAGTCGTTGGAACCACGGAGAATAATGGAGCTAGAGGAATGGACCTTTGTACCTTGGACAAGAATGAGCTCATCATCAGAAATGCGCTCCTGAACAACACACTCAGCACTGCCAAGGTAAGAAGGCTCAAAGACTTCCTCGCCTTCGAGATTTGAAAGAGTGGATACCAAAGTGGCACCCGTAGCGCGGGCAATGCGACGCAGATCTTCCTTGTTGCAACGACGCACACCCATGACACCGGCTTCGATAAACTGCTTGAGACATAAGTCGTCGATACCCTTGGTGGTAAGAACGACATTGGCACCAGCGTCTATAATCTTATTGATGCGCTCGACAATAATGTCAAATTCACGCTTGCGAATGGCCTCAAGCTGTTCAGGGTCATCGATGGTAATATTAACACCCATAGGCATACGGGCCTTTTGAAGGTTCATGTCAAGAACGGCAATTTTAGCATTTTGGATGCGAGTCTTCATGGCTTGGGAAGCGACAGTGCAGTTGAGAGCGTAGCCCTTGACAAGCATAGACTCAGTAGCAGACTTACCGTGAGCCTTAAGAACATTGACAGCCTTGACAGGGTATTTGGTTTCTCCACGAGTGTTTGTGGTCTTAACAGCGAGCATAGCATCAACAACAATGCGGGAGAAAAAGTCCGAATCGGGACCAATGATTTTACTCGACATACTCGTCTTAGCAATGTTAACGAGGGTATCCTTGCCGAGACTTTCGACGGGCACACTCATCTGATCATTGATAAAGCGAATGGCTTCACGGAGAGCTAATCGGTAACCGGAGATGATGGTTGTGGGATGAATCTTGTTCTTGACGAGTTCGTTGGCACGCTTGAGAAGTTCGCTGGCAATAATGACGACAGAGGTAGTACCATCACCGACTTCGCGATCTTGCTGTTGAGCAAGCTCCACCAGAATCTTACCGGCAGGATGCTCAACGTCAAGAAGATTGAGAATAGTAGCACCATCATTGGTGACAGTGACGTCCTATATTGACAAGAAAAAAATTGAGTGTTAGAAATGCCAGATCAAATATCAAGAAGAAAAAAAAAAGTAAACATACACCAATATCATCGACAAGCATCTTATCAAGGCCTACAGGACCCAAGGAAGATTTTAAAACATTTGCAATTGCCTGGCATGCGAGAACTAGGATTATTAGAAAAGATCGGTATGAAAAGAATAGCTTTTATAGCTTACCATTCTGGTTTCGAATATCTTCGCCGCTGATCTTTTCACCATTCAGGACTTGAGAATGTTTTGTTAGAAAACTGGACATGAGTACAATAGAGATCCATCGTTACATACAAAGAGTTTCCGAACGGGCTGTCGAAAATAATTGGGACATATTTTGTTCTGATAAAGTTGCTGGCTGGCGGGCTGGAAGGCTTGCTGGCGCTGCGGATTTGTGGGAGTTTTGAAAATTTTGGCGGGTTTGTTTGAAGGCCTTTTTTTTTTTAGGTGTTGACGGCTGGCGGTGGGCAGTGTGGCAGAGGGTTAGCGGTTACCACCATGACCTGCAAAGCTTTCTGGTGGTAGTGCTTGGAATTTTTTTTTTTTTTTTTTTTTTTGGAAGAAGGAGGATGTGGAATTTCTAGGGTGGCAAATACAAACCCTAACCCTGTGATTAATTTGGCTTCTACGGTGAAAACCTGTTGCTTTATTTTGGCTTTGATGATCAGGTCATTGAGTTTTTTTTTTTTTGTTAACAAAGACGATTCTAAAATCAAAATAAAAAAAAAATAAAAAATCCCATTATAATCATATAACTATATAGTTCAATTCTTTGAATTTAAATTGAAAAAAAAGAACAAAAAATCAACCCATCTGGTGCTAAACGAGTAGGAATATCACGTGGCTTAGGAACTGGTTCTCTGAGCTCAGAAGTTTTTTTTTTTTTCTTTCTTTATTCTGGTTACGGAAACCCACCGAAAATTTTCATCACCACCAAAAATTTTTTTAAAGACCTTCTCTATTTAATTCTCAATCCTTTCTTCTTCCATCATTTTCAAAATCCTCTAAAGTACTTTGTACAACAGTCACGCCCATAATGATTGCCAGAATTGCCCTCAGATCCGCCCGCCAGGTTGCCATTAGACGTCTCCCCGTCGCCGCAATGGCCTCTGCTTCCCGCATCCCTGCCTTCTCTGCCATCAGAACCTTCTCTGCCACCACTAAGTCCATGGAGAAGCTCCCCCTGACCGCCTCTGATGCCCAGCTTTCTAGAGTTCTTAAGAACGAAATCAATATTGAGGTCGAGACTTCTCAGGAAAACCCCGAGGCTGATTCTGCCAAGTGGCTCGAGAAGTCTGGCTTCCAGCTCATTGCCAAGGACGGCACCGACGAGATTGAGCTCATCAAGAAGGAGGGTGGTGAAGTTATCCACATCTTTTTCTCTGTTTCTGACATCACCAACGGTGATGCTTACGACTTCAACAATGACGAGTTTGCTGAGAACGAGCACTCTGAGGAAGCCGCTGAGGAGGAAGAGGATGCCGACTTCATTGAGGCTCCTCCTATCCGCGCCAACATTGTTGTCGAGAAGGCTTCTGGTGCCCTTTCCATTGAGAGTGTTATCCAGTCCAACCTCCTCCTCGTCGAGAACGTTACTCCCTATGAGTCCGCTGATGTTGCTCTTGCCAACACTTCTGAGGCTGACTTCAAGCGCCGCAGCATCTACCAGGGTCCTGCTTTCTCCAACCTTGACGAGAACCTCCAGTCTGCTCTTGAGCAGTACCTTGAGAGCAGAGGAATTGATGCTGGTCTTGCTTCTTTCATTTCTGACTATGCCAACGTCCGTGAGAACAACGAATACATTCTTTGGCTCAAGAAGATCCAGAACTTTGTCGAGGCCTAAACGGTTGAAGATTTGAGTTCTTTAAAAAAAAATACATTCCACATGTGTATTAAATCATACTTGCCTTTATTCTTTTTAACTTATTTGGTGGTATTTTTGTAAATAGTTTGTTAATGATAATAGTTCTTTTTTGATATAATCGTATTAATTTTGTTTGGAAACTTTGGTAAGATGTGGTAAAATATATCTCGTAAAGTATAAATCGCCACTCCTACCAAAAAAAATTTTGCTCATCAACATCTCTCACCCAAATACCTGTAGACACTTACACGAAACCAATCTTTGGAAACCCCCCGACATTTTTCAGCCGAATGTAGAATTCCCCTTTATTTCACCGTTGAGTGTTTGAGTTGTTTTTCTTTCCTTCTTTCTATCTTTCTTTCTTTTTTTCTTTTTTTTCATATTAGATGTAAAATACCACACCTTTTTTTTTTTTTAAAACTCGCCATGTTTTAACTTGTTTGTTTCTTGTTCCTAGAAGCATGAATTCCACTACGCAAACCAATTTCTGGTACAATGACTAATATTATATGTCTGAAATTTTAACGATTTTGTCCCATCTTTAGTTCAATATATACCCACATATTGTTATCAATTATAGCCTTGTTTTATTGACTCTTATGGAGACTGAACCACTCTCTCGACTTCTTGGGTGACTTTGAAGACCCTGCGGCATTGAAATGTTACAAGCTACCTAATTATGTCTTATCATTATACCCATGAAAGGAAAATCCGTTGAATTTTCTCTGGGGTTTTCATTTTTTAATTTATTTTATTTTTTCAGGGACTGGCCCTTCAGAGATGTTTCTGCAAACTAAGGTTTAAAACCATTTCAAAACAAGTCAGAGGTTGAAATATAAGACAACAATCATTTAGAATTTTATCTTGCTTGTTTCTTCTGTTCTTTCCATTTCCATCCTTTTTTTTTCTGTTTTGATTGCATCCGATATTCGTTTCATATGTGTTTTTATTTCCACCCGTACTGTTGAACCATTTTTTACGGAATATTATTAATGACACTCCTTTTAATTTAACAGTTCTATATAAAACACATGGATTCCTTAGGATTTTTTTAAAAAAATTCCTTATTTTTTTTTTTGACCCCCTTATCCTATACGCAATATCTGATTTTTTTTCCTACCCATTCTTCGTCTTAAAAAATGACTATAACTGTAGGGTTGCCATACCCAGCGGATCCTGTCAGCCACTCTAACTTCAATCCCGTTCTTGGTGATGTTCCTGCTACCCCCTTGAAATCAAACAGTGTCAACAAATGGCTCCAGGCACTTGATTGCTTTGACCAGAATAGGCCTGAAGAAGCTCTTGAAATCTTCAGCCAAATTACACCAACTAACTCCAAAGTGGTTTACAATATGGCTTCAATCCACTCGATTCTTGGCAATTATGCGGATGCAATCATATACTTTAAGCGCGCTACTTCTTTTGATTCCTACATGGCCATCTCTCATTTCCAAATCGGTGTCAGTAACTTTTTAGCTGGCTCATACAGCGACGCTGCAGACTCATTCAACGCGGCCCTGAAACTTTTACGTGGAAACAACGTTGTCAACTATCAGCAGCTTGGATTAGACTACAAGCTTTATTCCTGCGAAATTGTCTATAATCGGGCATTGTCTTACATTTATTCTGGAACTCTTTCCACTGGGATATTGGATCTTGAATTTGCTGCAAAGGAACGCAAGTATATCCCTGAACACAATATTATTGATGAAGCTCTTGTACACTTTACCCAGATGGAAAAAATTCAAAACAGAAGAAAAAATAGTGCTGCTTTATCATTGGAAGATCTTGGAAATAAACTTCTAAACCTTCCTGGTGCTTTGGACAAGAAGAAACAGAGATTTAGTGTTGTGAACCCCCCAAAAAAACTTAATTTTGGCAGTTTTCCTAATAGCCCCACATCTGACAATTTTGAATTATTTTCAGAGAAGAAGGACGAGAAATATGATGATGATCTTAGTTTAGAACAACCAAAGGAAATTGCTTATTCATTATTTTCTGTTCCTCAAGGATCTCTTTTCCGTCTCACAGAGCTCAAAGTTTGCTCCATTTTAAACGATAAAAAACTGAGTGAAATTATAACTTCTGGTCGTGGGCATGTCACTTTCAAGACCGGTAGCGCTTTGGCTAAGACAATCAGCGACACCGCTGCTGCGACTACCATCAGTAACAGCTTAACTGCTCTTGGCTCTATCAAAGGCCGTAGTCTTTCCAACGACAAACCCACAGTGGCCCGCGACCTTAAACCCAATGATAGTGATGTCAAACTTAAATCCAAAAATAGTAAATTTGGTTTCAAGTCTGATCTTCCATCTCTCCCCACCAAAGCTGCAGTCCCGCCGACTCCACCGGTTTCAAGAAGTGTCAACAAATCACAGTCATCTTCTTCCACATCCTCATCGCACCCGTCATCATCAACCTCTAATACCTCAGGAGTTATCACACCCCCGATCTCACCTGATATTCCTCTCTCCAATAAAGATGATGATGCTAAAACACCTGTTGTCACTGCTGCTGCAACTATTAAGTCATCTGCATCTTCTTCTTATACCACTCCTGCTGTAGGATACTCTGAATTTTACGCCAACGGACCAAATACTTCAGCAGAGTCCTTTGGGAAATCAAAGCCAACTACCCACCATACTGAATATACCGATCTTATTGAGCCTGATTTTCATTTCAAGCCTTCCTCTTCAGTTAAATCCAATCATTCTGATTTGGAAATTCATCTTACTCCCCGTTCCACCTCGCGCACTCAAATCCACAATGTGCCTTCGCCTTTAGGTTTGTATCTTGAGAGCAACCTTTCAGCTTCAGCTTCTCAGTCTAAGCTAAGTGATAAGAGCGATAACAGTCTTTTTGACAATGAGTCAAGTCTGATGGACTCTGATTTATATGAACCTGAATACAGCCCTGATTTAAGCACTTCAACTTTTGGCAAGCTCTATGGGAAGACGCACTTGTCCAAAGGGGCTGTTATTGATATACAAAAGGCCTTGCCTTATAAGACACTTAACCCGACTCACCACTATGCCTCACTGGCGCCGCCACCTAGTAATTCTCAGCAAGTTGTTGGAGATTTGTGCTCAATATCTGCAACCACTTCTAAATATGGTACAAATACGTCATACAGCAAAGCTCCTACATCATCATACCCAACCATTATATCCTCTCACCCTTCTGCTAATATTAAGGTCAAGATTTTTTGTGCCAAGGAAACAAGAGCCATTAAGATTTCTTCAGGGATTTCATTCCGTGACTTTAAAGCCCGGGTTGCACAAAAGGTTCAAAGCAAGGAATTAGAGGATAGTCCAATTTTGAGTTCCATAACCAACAATATGATTATTAGAGGAAAAGACGAAGATGGTGACATGGTTCTGATTGTGGACCAAGAGGATCTTGATGTTGCTATTAGTGAAGCAATTTCCCATTCAAAAAGTGCACCTAAGATTAATGTTTATGTTGAAAATGTTTTTGATGCCGAGATATAATTTTTATTCTTTTTAATGTTTTTGAAAGTTTTGTATACAGTTACTCTTTTTTTTTTTCTTTTAGGATTTAGTTTTTTTTTTTATTTAGTTTTCTTTTACCCTTAATATTTTCATTTTTTAATGTCCATAGAACATCAAGACATTTCGAGTCATTTGATATTTTTTGTTTTTTTTGTCAAAACCAACACTGTTTGATAACAAGTTCCAGATTTTAAAGTGAGACCCCGTTACCTCAAAAACAAAAACTTCCATTAAGTTTTTTTAGACTCACAGACCTTACTGACATGTATATTTCATCAAAATACAATTACAACTCATATAATTGTGTGAGAGTATTTAGATCCAATACTTGAGTCGGAAAAATCTTGGAACCCCTTATCTTTTCCTCAAATTTTGCCTATGGTTGAAAATGAAGCTTTGAAACCAGGTTTTTAGGCCTGGAAATAAAATTGACCATGTGGCCAGACACTTGGAAAGCAATCCGGTTATTTTTTGTTTATTTTTTTTTTGCCTTTTTTCCAATAAACTTGCATACTGACCAATTTATTTAATTAAAAATCAATATTCTATATAGTAATGGAAGAGAATAAAAACGCAGCTGCTTCTACTAGAACAATTTGGAATAAGGAATGATTATTGTGCTACTAACGCTGCACTTGAACTGTTACAGAGAATTGAGAAAATTGCTATGATTGGGCAAAATCGATCTGGATAACGTTTTGGGTCTTATTAATTTTGCAGCAAATATCAAAGCTAAAGATGAAAAAAGTGCAATTAGCTTTATTTAATAGAGAAGTTCTTGAACCCCAAAAGAAAGTTAAATTACTTAAACAACTGTCTTGATTTGAAATTTCATATTTTGAATAAATCTTACAATGAATAAACAAAAAATGAAGGTTTAGCAAGACTCTTATTGGCACAGTAAGAAGGAACAGTAGTATCATAATATTAAAGTATAATCGAGATATAAAGACAACCTCTCTGAAATGGTTACGGGGGGGGTGATTAAGAAAAAGAAAGGTATATTTAAAATATATTGAGCAATATTACTTAGTTTTGCACTGGCCATGGCAACTTTAATGCATGGTTTCAAAAGTTGGGTATTGAAAAGGAGGGCTACAACTGTAACTGCGGCGAGCTGGAAACAATCAGGCAACTGGATGAGTATCCATTGCTAAAAGAGGAAGGAAACGATTGAAACAAATATCTCCTAAGATAGATATACCGTACCAACTGCAAGAAGTTGTGGACTTGAGTTCTACTTGGAGGGATTAAAGAATAGAATTAAAGCCTTGATGGAGACAAGTGGAAATAAGTGGGGTAGCTTTGGTCTCTGGTCTCCTGATCCCCTTAAGCAGGCATCAGGACTTATTTTCGGGGGTTTTAAGATGTAAATGTTGAAAATAAATCAGATTAAAAGGTAGTTGTGCAAACGAAAAAGTATATTAGAAGCAAAAAGGATAGCGTTGAAGTTGATGATATTTCTATAACCCTTGAATTAAAACAAAATAAAATAAAATAAAATAAAATAAAATAAAATAAAATAAAAGAACAAACAAACAAACAATACCCTGAGACTTTTACCTATTTTATTTTTCGTTAGATCAAAAGCCTTTTATCAAATGGTATTTCGCCAACGCATGTGTCCAAAAATTCAAAAGGCTAAAGAAAGGAAAAAAACAATAATATTCCATATAAGGCATATGCTTCTTAACACTAGTGTTAATTAATACTTAAAGGTAAGCATATTGTTTATTCATTTCTTTAAAACTGATTTATAGGGTAAATAGATTGTAACAACTGAAAATGGAAAAAAGTCCATTTATTAAAGTCATTAAATTTTTCAGGTTTTGGGATGAAAAATACTGCTTAAATGCGTCAGGAAGCTTGAAAGTGATAATAGATAATCAGGACTAAAGCGCTTTCTCGAGGAGCCTTTTCTTAAAAAAAAAAAAAAAAAAAAAAAAGAAAAGAAATCTGATATTTTTTTCTAGATATCCTGTAAGAACCACTTTGGTCCATCGACATAAATGTGATTTTGTTTGATTCATGTTAAAAAAGATATATTCGCATCAGTGCTAAAAATTCTATTTGAAATCACATCATGATCAAGCATTATAATTATTAGGAATTGCCCTTTCCCGCACTCCTGAGTTAGAGTCGTGATAAATATATTTGGTGTTTTTTTTTTTTTTTTTTTCATACTGGGGTATTGGTTGCATCAAAGTTGAGTCCATAAACAAAAAAATAAAATCTAGAAAACATGGTGCATTTTTAACCCCTTAATGAAAATATATTTTGTATCATCATTGAGTATCTGTATTCATAGTAATTGAGGTTCAAGGAATGGAAATATACATTGGAAATGTTGAAGCCAAAAACCCTCAAGCGAAAAAGAAATTCCTTATAGATTACTGAAAAAAAAAAATCAGACCACAAACGCAGGTTCAGTGAAATAATAATAAATTGCTGGTAACAAGGCATTTGTAAAATAAATGAAAAAAAAAAAAAATTCAGGCCAGTCTTTCTTTCTTTCTTTCTTTCTTTGAGTAGTGTGCGCAAACCAAAAAAAAAAATAATAAAATAAAATAAAATAATTAATAAAATAATAATAAATTTCATGACCAATGCATTTAAATCAATATGGTAATACTCTGACCGATTACATGCCAATAAGTAAACCGATACCCGGAAACTCCTTACTTTCCACAAGAACGCAGATTGCGACATGATTATAATTAAATTACTCAGCCATGTACGGATTTCAAACTTGTAACAGGTGGGAATGGGACTTTGTATTATTATGCAAACGTGATTTTAGTAAATTGTGATTCAGCTAGTCTGCTTCTTTGATGTTCATATATGCATCTGTATTTAAAGGCCATAATTATTTTTATTCTAAAATGAAACAAAAATTGAGGTCAATTAGGCTGTAGTTACTTGAATTCACTAAAATAGTTAGTGGGAGTCCTTTGAAATCTCAATACTCTGACAAAAGTTAAAGAAAAAAAAAAGGGCTTTGTTTCTTTTGCACTTGGAAATTTTCTACAACAATAACATATGTTAAAATCGTAGGATTCAAGAATTATGAAAAAAGGAAAAAATCAAGTTCCAAAAATGAATAATTTTTTTTTTATAGAAACGAAATTATTTGAAAAAAAAAAGACGAGAAATGAATTTTATTTAATTGAATTTAATTTAATATCATGAAAAAAATATAGCATTGGAATGGCAATCATTGAATGTTTTGCTTTTATCGCGCAGTTTCACAAGGATATGGTCTTGAATATGGTTCTGCATACGTCACAAACCATTTAATAAACAGTGCTTGCAATAACCTATTCCTGTCTCTTTCACTAACAAAGAAGTAAACTGACGGAAAAGAATTAAACAAACTTACATGCGCTCAGGAACCGTCAAAATTCAAGTATTCAACCAAAGAAAAAAAGGGGTATTTATTATATAGATTAAATGAATTCCTCAATGAAACATGCCTTTTGTTTCTCCTTATTTCTGAAGAAATCATTATCTATCCAATCAATCAATATTGAATAAGTTCAAATTTGGTATTTAATAAAAAAAAAGCCAATTAAATTTAATCATACTTGATAATTATTGGTAGTTTCTTTTAATTGATCGCTAGAACTCTTTCTCTTCCCTTATTTTACATCCTAAAGAAACAAATTGTGTACTCTACCTTTGGATAAATAACTGTTGTGTTAAATTTTTAGGTAACGTAGGCGTTGCTCTGCCGTTTGGTTTCTTGAGAGTATCCTATTTGTTAATTTCATATCCCGGTATGATATTTATGGTCTTTGGGGTTACTAAATCATGTTCATGTTGGAAACGGTGAAATTAGTAATTGTTTAAATATCAACCTTATTTTTTTATTTTTTATTTTGGAGGGTTCTTGATTATGGATAAATTCTTTTAAATATCTGCAAACTAAATATACAAAACCATCTCGTCTATCTTTCCATTTTCTCTCTTTTTTTTTTTTTTTCTTTTTTTCTTTCTTTCTTTAAAATTATAACTTCTTTTTTGTGGTTACCATTAGTTTTTTGGCAATATTCTGGATTAACTAAAAGCTTCCATTTTTTAATTGAAGCATATAATATTAATGATGCTATTTTGGAATCTAGAAGAAGAATTCATGCTGCCATAATACTTGAATGCAAACATTTTGTCTGATGCAAGCATGCAAGTATGCAAGTTCGCCATCATCTCGTATTATAGAAATTAAGTGAAAAAGCCATATAAGAATCAGGTTTGCTTGATAAAGATAGAATCTGCATTTCATTTAGTAACAGTTAGGCCATTTGTAGCTTTTTTTTTTTTTGAAAGTTTTATGTGAAATGACTAGCTTCATCTTTATAAAATGACTAACTGATTTTGATGATATTTTTTATTTCTTTCAAAACAATAATGGCTATTTGGTTCAAACAGCCCACTTATAAATGGGCTGTTTATAAGTAGTATTTCATCTTTTTTGTTTTTTTTTTGGAATTAAAGAAAAATACATGTTTAAATAAATATATTTCCACAGCTAGCGATAAACATTAGTTATTTCCCAAATAAATTTCTTAACATGGTTTATGCATTGCACGTTGTCAAAAACCAACTTTATTTACAACTTGTTATCTCACTATTTAGGGAAACATGAACTCAAATATGTTTTTTTTTTCTTTTAAAAGTTTCGAGGAAAGTATCTAAAAAGAGGAAACACGAGATAATTGGGGAGAAAAAAAAAACAAATTGTAACCTTAACTCTGTTCCCGTTATTGTTGACTTATCAGGTTGACATGAAATATATTATCTGCTGCTTGTTTTTTATTTTTTATTTTTTTTAAACGATGTTTAATTAAACCAAAAAAAAAAAAAAGACAGCCAGTTGACCAACATTATCAGCATATCTATGGTTCAGATTACAACAAAATAGTTCTTTTAAGGTTATTGAGATAAGTTTTCATTTCTTAACCCAACATATGATTTCAGTTGAT